AATAAGTTCAAGATTAATTCCTTCAGAGCTTTGACATTTTTATAAATGTTCTGTTTTTTTTTTAGCATATTCTTTATTTCATTGAAATTTACAATTTTATACAAACCAATTAATATTTTTCAAATATAATTTAAACTCTTTTTATTTATAACACACTTTTTTTTTGGGTCCACTGGCTGATTCGATTTGCCAGCACGCGTAATTTGATTCGCGCTCATAGAAAGGACTCCCGCACTCGGAAGGAAGTGGCCCACGAAATTCCCACGAATTGCTGAAAGTTCCTTTTGGCCTCCACTCGTCGCGTTTCCGGTTTCTGTTTACGCGAAACTTTTACGCATTCGCCTTGAATTCTGATGGCGATCTTAAACTTTGGCATGAATGAAACGGGTTGGGCAATTCCATAACAGGATGTTTACTGGTATTGGTCCAGCTGATGGGCAAGGACATGCGGCAGGAATTCCAGGAATCACCATTTGAATGGACAAAGCTTGTGTGTGTGTGTGGGGCAGAGTCCTCTCGATTTAACGAACCAAAGCTGCAAAAGTTTTCAGGATATTTTTCCACTCAGATCAAGGTCACAGGATGTTTCATTTTTGTATTCTTCTAATAATTTCGAATTGTGCAAAACCTTTAACGAATTATTGTTACCATTAATGTCCTGTTTTCATTAAATTCGTTTTAAATGCTATCAGGCATTTCATAGATTTTTTTAATTTATTTATAAATTTAATTTAAAATGTAAAAGTTTTTTCCGAAATCTTTGAGTGCTCCACACCTGTGATTTCTTCCGGAATTAGGTTGAAAGGACAACCCCTTCGCAGTCTCTGATTGCTCCCAGGACTTCCCACGCTAAACAACTTCCGCTCCGTACCGTTTGCATAAGGATCCCCCCGCCAGAAACCGAAAGATATTCCCACAGATGAGATATGCAGGAATACAAAAGCAAAGATTATGCAATGCACCCGATCCACCCTCGCATTCGGCGATCCTTGATTTGATCTGACCCTCTTCCTTCTCCGTTTTTTTTAGCAAACAGGGTGCTCTGAAGGATCCCAGTCGCGTTTCCGTTCTCAGGCCCGAGAAAGATTTCCGATAAGTTTTGAATTCAATAACAAAGAGACAGCAACTGCTGCGGTTTCGCCTTCAACTGCTGCTGCTTCCAGTTAAGCGAAAGTCGAAGATTTCTGCATCTAACAAATGGCAAAGGATTAACTAGCCAGCTGTTGTTGTGCGAAATCCTGAGATCCCCACGCAAAAAAATTTCACACGGAAGTGAAGTTCGCATCTTCAAGTGGCGACACCTTCACCATCAACCTGAAACAGTAAAAACATAAAACAATCTGTAGTAAAAATTTGAAAAACTCGTAAAAGAACAGGAGATCGAAAAGCAGCTGTATTTTTGAGCTGCCTGGGAAGAGGTTTCGTTTCTTTTCTGGATATGTTTCCCGCAGGACTCTCTAGGCGATCTACATGTACCTGCTGCTGAGAGTCTGTGGGAAGCGCACATGTTCCCATCTTCGTCCTTCGTTTTTATCCCCATAAGATTCCTCGATACTCGTTTCGGGGTTTCCAGTTTTCCGATTTCCCGTTTGTGTTTTGCATGAAATCGAATTTTCGTTTCAAGGTTTCCTTTTCGATTATGTTACATTTGCATCCTGTGTGGGAAAAATCCGGATGGGAATTTTTCTTGAACAGCACCTGCTAAGGAATAGTCGAGAAATATGTTTTTAGAAGAACTGATATAAAATAAACAACAAGCTGAACAGATTTTGTAACTAAAAAAAATGGTTTAGCGAGCTACCTTATTTATTTAAATATAATGTACATACTTATTATTTCATTTTACATTAACCAAGTTCAATCAATGGATCCAATCAAAACAAGCAGTATTTCTTTATCGTTAATTATTAAATCCACAATTGCAGGTTACAAAATGGTTCATTAATAAAGACTGTTTACTTTCATTAAAGCTTTAACAAAGGGCCCACACATTTTTGCTTTGTTTTTTTTTTTTTAACATTTCCGATAAGCAACAAGTTCAAAAATTAAACGACACATGCCACCGGAGTAATATCGGCAACTGGTTGCAATTGATCGTTACATCATCCATCTGAACTATAAACAGATCGTGAGCGACACACGCTCCGCTCGATATGAAGACCATGTCCCGCCTTCAGATCTTAAAAAGCCCCTTTCGGAACCCCCTCCCCTGATCCCAGTGAGTGTCACAAGCCACGCGACTAATTTTCAAGTTTTTCAGCCTCCGCACAGGGCCAAGAAAAAAGTTTATATCTGCCCGAAAAGAGACGCAAAAAATATGCATAAAATACGAGAAGATCGCTGAATGCGAGGGGAGTACGAGGATCAGCGGAAGAGGCTGCAAAGTGAAAGATGTTGCCTGTCTGGTGGATCTGGCCAAGTACATGACCCCAATTTCATTGCCGTTGCTGCCTTATTATTCAAACTGCACGGCGCCCTTCGACGGGTTAAGGGGGGCCCCCAAAAGGGGTTAAGGGGGGAAGGTCCACGCAAAAAGGATGGATGATGTATGTTGCGCTTTCAATTTGGAGCAGCAGGACATCTGTTTTTCGGAGATGGAGCTCTCAGCTCTCGGTTACCTGCCGACTGCCAACCGGTTTACAGGTGCTAACTTGGCTCGCAAGGAGGGGCCCTCGAAGGGGCTAAAAGGGGTCCGTTCGATCGAGAGGCTGCCGTTTGGCTTTGCCCCACAGCCTGCAGGTTTTTCTTCTTGTGCTCCTTTTCATTTTATTATTTCGCCGTTGCCGTTGTTTGATCATAAATTTGTGTTTAATTTAAAAACTTTTCACTCTTCTCCGGTCTTGAAAACTCCCGGTGCGAGTACTTTGCTGTCAAATTTATTGCGTGAAATATATTTTTGTTTAAATATTGATATTACAGTTGTACGTCATTGAAATGGATTTTCATATATATTTACTACATAAATTCAAACTACACAGAACATCTTTCCAAATTACTCCTGTTGGTTATGCAGTTATATATTTTTGAGTCAGCTGCATTCGTAAGTGAACTCTGTTTATGACATGTTGTTTATGGTTCAGAAGCTTTACTGTACTCCCTAAGGAGTCGGCGGCGAACATTTAAAAGTGAGGCTGGAGAAATTTCGAGCCTTAGTCCAAATTTCCTTGTAAAATTGGGTGTTGACTTGATTGGTTTCGTTTTCTGGAACCTCCTTCTGGTCTCATGCATATGCAAATGTCCCTCGTTCGATGCAAATTAATGAAGACCGATTTTTATTGTACAAATTTCAACAACTTTATTTCGCGCGAAGAGAGTTCTGGCCATGTTATTCTCAACCCTTTGCTTGTTGGCCCATTTATCAGATGTTTTCAATGAACTGCTGTTATCGGGTGATTTATAATGTTTGACCAAAGAATCGTTTCGAATTAATCTTGTTCTCTTTGCAAGGTGCTTGAATTAATTTTTTATTAAAATTGCAGATTTAGGACCACCAAAGACTGACTTTAGTGTTTAAAATTGATATGGGCGATAATAAAAAAAACAAGCCAAATACCTATTACAAAATATCGTTTTGGCAAGCGGACCAGGATCGTCATATTATAAAAAACTGTCATCATTAGAGCTCGGATAGTCATTCAAATGCATGTTGCACGCATATTGTGCATGTTCGAGCATATTTTAATATTGCATTCATCAAAACTGATAATAATTTAGCTGTGACATATGAAAATCGTTCTGATACGAATAACAACAGAAAACTGAATACATAATTACGTATAAGATTATTGCGTGGAATTTAAAGTAATTTGACTTTCAAGTTGTATATTTTCATCATATGATCGACACTGGGTAATGACTAATAAAAATAAACGCTTTATTATATTCTTAAATTATCATTCGTCTCGGGGCATTCAAAGTTATCAGTTGTTTGTTTTAAAATTGTTTAAAAGTTTTAATCGGAATGATTAGAAAAGAAACGGGCGGTAAATTTATATTGCGTATGAAATCCGGATTTTCCAAAGTATTTCGGTCTGATGGGTCAGTTTTATTTTGTACGTATTTTGAGTGTGCAGTTCAAGGAAAAAATATTCCAAGTATAACAGCATATTGCATATTGCCTTTTTTAGTGCATAACTATCCGAGCTCTAGTCATCATACTAACTGACGTTTAATAGGAAAATAACATCTTTGAATAGCCGTCAGATCGAGAAATAATACATTTCACAGAAAGAATTGTTCAGGTTCAGAAATTTTTACAACGGCCGCTGGTTTGAAAAATTTGGTGCTTATTCTATTTCGGCTACAGGATATTAATTGTCTTCTTTTAAAATTTAAAACAATAATGTATGTTTATTTTAAATAAACTTTATTTTGATAAGAGGCTGGATACGAACTTTAAATCAATCTTCTAACATTAAATAATTTTGAAAGATATGGAAATAATTGACACATGAAATCCATTTGAAGTGAGATATCTCAGGCTCTTCAAGGAATTATATTTAGTTGTTATTGTTATAAATTCCGTCATATTTGCCAACAACTTGTTTGTTATTTGTGAAATAAGTAATGAATGTCCTTTTGTTTATAAACTATTGGCAACTATTTTATAAAAGTAGAGTTAGTGAGCATGCTTGCAACATTTCCTTGCAACATTGTTGCAGCAACATTTGTTCCATCTGCCGGCGAAATTTCCTAATTTTAGCCACGAAACTCGTTTCGTAGAGCAGCTGCGCCACCAACTACGTAGGTCAGAGCGAGAGAAAAGCACAGTCCATCTCACTTCCGCAGAGTAGCGAGAGAGCAGGCGGCAATAGTTAGAGAGCGCGAGAGCAAGAAGTGCAGCGTGCTCGCCGTGCATCAGAGCGAGATGCAGCTAGAGGAGAGCACGGTGAGAGAGCCTCCGAGAGAGCAGTGGTGTAACTGAGCGAGGTATATTTTAGGACGTTTCGCGGACTGAGGTAAAACTATAGGGGACTTGGGTCTCGCTTTGGGACCTTAACGGCATTACGTTTTTCAACTCGGCCGCGAAAGTAACTCAAGAAAGGCGCTCCGCACGCAGCTAGAGTATTTTGAAAAACACAAGTCCCGCGACTCGCGACCAAATCATTCAGTGTGTGACGCGAACTGCCAATGCAATAATTTCACAAAAATTGCAGTTTTCCGCGAATCTTGGCAGTTCTTATTTAAATTTGAAAAAAGTGCCAGAACCAAATGAATATATGATCTTCTAAGAGAAAAATACAAAGTGTTTCCGCCAAAAAAAATAAAGCAAGAATCGTTGCACCGTTAGTTCCCTCTCTCGCTTTTCCCTTTTGCGCTTCTTTGCGTATAAAGGAGAAGACACGCGAAAAGCTTCAAACTCGCGACACTTAAAAATAAACACACTCGAGGAAATTACAACAAAAATGTGGCGCGTGCACGTGTAGCTTGCAACAACAACGACAGCAGCAAAATAACGAAAATGCTAAAAGCGAATTGCAAAACCATGTGCGACAAGTAACCAAAAAATCCACAAATTAAAATACAATAAACAATTTGAGTAGTTGCCGCACACACACACACACACATCCCGTGGATTATTACACTAAAAGCGACACTCAATCCAAAAAACCAGCAACAACAACATCAATAAACATGCATTGGATTAAATGTTTATTAACGGCATTCATTTGCTTCACAGTCATCGTGCAGGTGAGCTAAAGTCTAAAAAAGTTCCCAAATTGTCTTTCCAACAAGTTGAATTTTTGGGCACTTTTCCATTTCCTTTTTTGCGCATGCGTGCACTCACCGCTGAATTTTTGCAGTTGGCGTGGTGTGTGCGCATGCTTTGTGGCCAAAAGGAAGAAGCGATTAAGTTAAGGGTTGCCAGGTTTACTAAACATGTTACAAAAATCTTGGGTGGGTGGCTTAATACGATCCGAAATTATCTATTTTTGGGACTGCTTCTAAATTCGTTCTTTTTGCTTAAATACTTTTTTCAAACGCTTGTAACTTGAGAACTTTTGGGTAGAAACAGCTGAGCTCGCATTTTAAGCGGGTTGGCTTTTTAGGGGTGGAAACTGCGGATCGGATCACCCTTTTCGAATTATGCTTCCTAGATGAAAACTAGTTTGGAAAACGAGGCGAGGCCAATGGCCAAACAGGTCCCATCCCCGAAAAATTGTTGAATACGAATACACAGCACAAAATATCAAATATCAACTGTAATGAACTTAAAGATATTTTACGAAAAAATATCTTAAGTTGCTAAATTTTCATAAAATAATACTGTTTTATTTCTGTGTAACAACAAAGATAATCAAACTCTGCCTCAACATCAAAATTTACCACCAACGGCGCATGCCTCTTGAACAGCAGCAAAAAATGATAATACTGCTCGATTTCAATATGAGACCTTAGTGCTATACAAGCCGATGTTAAAAAGTTGATGATGCTGGGCAACATCTGCCGTTTTCGCTGTCATCTCCTCTTCTTCTCCGCTTTGCATGCGCTTTTTACATGCGATTTTTTTCGGTTTACTTTACGCTCTGCGTAGGTCAACGGCGACACATGCGCAGCTTCACTTGCTTAGCTCCTCGTTCTTCTCGTACTTTTCTGTCATGCTTTCATTGATCTTTAACGCCAGCATCCCCTGCGTACACGGATAAAAATGGGGACTTTAACATTAGGAAAACTATATGTAGAATAATTTATTTCCTTTTTTACTAGAAAATGTTAAATCAATCTAAAGAATCCTATGACAGATTAAAAATGTGTTTTTGGTGAAAATAATCACTGTTTGGTTTAGCTTCTTATTTTCTGTTCACATTTTATGTGCTACTAACCTCCTCCAAACTCCGCACGTCTCCTTATTTTCGCCAAACTTTTGGCACGTTGCGTGCTTTACTTCACTCTTCGACCAGCTTAATTTTTTCAAGTCTTTTATTTAGTCGCTAATTTTAACAACGTTCCATAAAAGTGTCTCGACGGCAACCTCCTGGGGTCTTAAGACTGCGACCAGCTGAAATGTTTCCCCATATATAGAAACATCTGCCCCGAATGGATACCTAAGCTCTGACTCATTTCCCAGCTAAATTAAATGTAGAATACTTTTAATTTGCCATTTAAAATAATATCTCGGGCAATTAGCCCGCTATTAGCAATGCAATTTAATTCAATTTTCTCCCTATTCTATATTATATTATTCTCACAATTTTTCGAACCCTTTCGTGTCCCATGCTCCGTTTAAATATCAATTTAACTATCAAATAACCGTAGTCGCCCTGTCTTTGGGTTTGGCATTTATGCAATTTTCATATTAACATTGAGCGCCGAAGGAATGGAAATGAATGAATGAAGTCTCGTACTCGTGGGGGAACTCTCGTAGTCTTCTCGGCTCTACTCTTTCTCCGTATAACATAATTAATTGCAATTTAGAAGCCAAAGAGGAAGACGACTCCCACACAATGCGATGATTCACTTGCGCTTGTAACTGTTTCTCAAGCCCGTTGTTAACGGTTGATTATGATGATGAATTTAAATGATTAATAAACAACATACAGAGTAAGGGGCATTAAAGCAAACACCTGTAGGAAAGCCGAGGAAAAGTCGGGGAAAATTATAATAAAAATGCGTGCTTTCATACATTTTTATGTCCCCTTGTGAATTTTTCTTTTCTTTTTTTTTACTACAACAACTGTCTGTCAGTCAAGGCAAGTTGACGTGGAAATGGCAAAAAAAGAAACGAAGAACTAACTAACTAGTCGCTTCAAGCCTGAGTGATCGCAGTAAAAATAGGAGTAGTGCCCAGTAAAAAGAAAGAAAAGAAACAGAGACAAAGAACAGCTCAAGCAAAAGGTAAACAATGCAACGCACTATTTTCTAACACTTTAACAAGTGTCTGTCCCCCACCTGAGAGCTTGGCAGTTCCAGCTTTCAAGTTCCACCTGGGGAAACCCCTCGTATCCCCCATTTTTTACCTTTCTGATCTTCAGGCGTAGTGGAGTTCATAGTTGAAGGCAAAGGCAAATAAAAAACGGAAAAAGAACCACAACAAGTGTAGGTACATACGCTAAACTCATGGGGCAGATTGTGCAAGGTGTATACAAATATTCAAAGTAAATTTTCTTTAAAAATTTGTGTTAAAAAATTTTTAAAAAGATAAACAATTTTCATTGTTTAAATTCGTTTCATTTTTTTGTTTTGTTGTTTAATAGCAACCGTTGTCTTGTTTTAAAATTGTGTGCCAATTTAAAATCAGATATTATCGATAAAAGTGTAAACTACCTTTTTTTTTACCTATTTTACCTTTGTCTACATTCCCTTGGAACTATAATAATAACCGCATATTTTAGGGGTCCTCAAAACAGTGTGAGAAACTATAACCGAAATTGGTGTCAAATGCTGGACAAAACTATTGTGGTTTTAACGATTGCACTTTTTGTTTTGTTTTGCCTTGCTTCCCACCATCTTTAAACTGTGTGTGTGAATGTTTGTTTGGTGTTATGCAAATTGATTTGCCGCTTGTTGCCGTATTATGTTTTTTGTGTACATATTGTGACAACTGCTGCGCCTTTGTTTGTGAGTGCGTTTTTTTGTTTATCCCAGTATTTTTTAGTTTAGCTTAGTTTGGCTTTCTATTGGATATGCCTTCCGCCTCCCACCTTTATAACCTTCCTTCCGCTCAATGGTTTTTCTCCCTCTTTCTCCTTTTTCTTTTTTTATTTCTTTTATTAATTCAGACGCATCGTTTGGCTTGATTGTCTATTAATTCTTTTTGCCTGCTTCTTATTCTTTTCTTTATTTTTTTGCGCATATTTATGCTCCTCTTCAAAGCGCCGTTGAAAACAAGTTTTTGCTCGGGGAGAGCCGCTCTTTGGCGCTCTCCCTCTCTCTCTTTTGGAGCAGCTGGCAGCTGCAGCTTGTAAGCTTACACACACACACACCAGCAAACACGCGACTCCAATTCACTTTTAAGTCACGTTTTGCTCTTTTTGCGCTCAGCTGACAACAACAACTACCGCTCTCTCTGTTAAACTGTTATAGCTTTGGGGCCTCGTCTCTCTTTTGGCGATCTTTCAATATGGCTGCATGCACTGCTCTTCTTCACCTGGCGTTCATTCGCTTACACCTTTTGTTGGCTGCTCTCTCACTCTCTGTGCTCCCGTCTCGTTCCCTCCCGTTTTAACCATCAATGTTGACCGGCAAAATCGTATGCCGTGGGAAACAATTCGGTTTTACTTGTACATTTTTTCATCGTTTTTCTCTGACGTCTGCGTCGACGTCGCTGCCTGTTGCTGCTGCTTCTTTTATTTAAGTTTTTTCTGTTGTGTTGTTTTTTTTTGTGCTGCTCTTTTGCGTCCGTTTTGTTTTTGTTGGCTGCTTATTAATACATACAGAGGAAAAAAATAAATTGAATAAAGTTAATAAATTCTGCTTTAGATTAATTGCTTACGGGTTACAAAATTAATCAATCCTGAACACTGAAATACGCGAATAAGCGAATGTTGGTAAGAAGACTATTAAAATAGTATCACATCACATTCCATTTTCTTTCCGTACATTTTCTTGTATATTGACCGCGTTCGTTGCCTAAGTCTTTCGTTTTGACGTTTACATTCGCTTGGTGCGCCCTCTCTTTCGCTCTAAATTCCCTTACAATTACAATTGGAAAAGCCTTTGAACAATGTTAGCGCCAGCTTAAGCTCTATTTTTCCGGCTGGGATTACACCTGTGATTCGACACAGCATCTCTGGACCGCACTTCTGCTTAATTGAGCAATTAAACACCCGTGTTCCTACAAAAGCGAAGAGGAAAACCCACAAAACTTCCCAAGCCACATGTGGAGCACTCGACAATAAATAAGCGAGAAAGAGAGACAGCGCGACTCACTGCTGTGCTCATGTCTTGTTAACAATTAAATTGTCGTTTTAACAAGCTTCACTTGTTGTGGCTGAAATGTTAATTGCCGAACAGTTATAGAAAACGGAGCAATAACTCCGCAGTGCGCCTATTTTTGGGCATTGGTGGCTTGTCTCGCCCATTTATGGGCAGATGATGAAGTCATAATTAAGTTTTAAGTCCCAAGTCCAAATCGCGGTATAATGACAATTTCCCTTCGAATTTTCCATTTGAGGAAGTAAGTAGAAACGTTTTTTAAGTATCTATAAACAGAATTCAAACACTAAGCTCTCCCTTTCAAATCTGCGAATTAATTTCACACCTAATAAAAATTTCCTTACATGGTGAATATTAGAAAATCAATTAAAATCCCCGAAACGACACTTTCGAAAACATGCTTGACCCATTTAGCTAATTTCCCTCACACCTCGCTCAACGGGAACGAATTAATTGAGAAATTTATGAGACGACGGCTATCAAACAAATTTGCAAATCCAAATATGCAAATATTGTCGGCGCTTCAAAACGAAAGTCGAGCAGAAAGCCAAAACCCAGTCGAGTCGAGCAAGCCAAGTTGAATTTATTGCAAACCGAATCGGACCGAAACGGAGCGGACTGAAGAAAAAGACCGCTTGCTGAGCATTTGTCATGTGGCCGGGCTTTTTCGGTTCGGTTTTGGTTCTCGCTTAATATTTCATAAGCCTGTTTCCATTTTGTCCTTTGCATGGGTCTCCGCTTTTCTGCTGCCGTCGTTGCCGCTGAAATTCCTCTGCAATTTCAGTTTTTGTTCAAATACCATGCTGAAAGATTTATCGTCTTGTTGGGAGCTGCATTCTTTGTTCTTCGATTTTGGCCCCTCTTTGCTTGCTGGTTTTTTTTCTCCTTGTGCCTTAATGAATTGCTTTTTAATTTGATTTGACTAATAAAATACCCCCTTGTTGCATCCGTTCGCAGGTTCACAGTTCCGGCAGCTTTGAGTTGCGACTGAGGTACTTCAGCAACGATCACGGGCGGGACCACGAGGGCCGCTGCTGCAGTGGGGAGTCGGACAGCGCGACGGGCAAGTGCCTCGGCAGCTGCAAGACGCGGTTTCGGGTCTGCCTGAAGCACTACCAGGCCACCATCGACACCACATCGCCGTGCACCTACGGGGACGTGGTCACGCCCATTCTGGGCGAGAACTCGGTCAACCTGACCGATGCCCAGCGCTTCCAAAACAAGGGCTTCTCGAATCCCATCCAGTTCCCGTTCTCGTTCTCATGGCCGGTAAGTAAAGCACTAGAACAATGAGCTACGATAATGTTATTAAAGTCCTTGGACTTTCAAAACGATCAATTTTAATTGTCAGTTAAAGTTTAATACCTTATTACTGCAAATTAGAGCCCAATAAAGCACTAAATTCACATGAAAACGTCCGATTTATTCTGATTACATATTGCCCTACTGAAACGTCATTAAATGAAGGGCCCAGCCGAACACTTTTCGCTGACACTGTGCCTGTAAATGGCCTGTGCGGATGGCTTTTATATTTAGATTTGCCCTGCGACGAAGCCAGTCACTCATTCAGTCAGTCAATAAAAATTTCCAAGTTGTCTTCTCTGCGCTGTGCGTAGTTTTTCGTCTGAAAACTTATTCGTGCGGCATCTTTGCTAATTTGTTTGGGCTTTTTATAGCCCCTGATCGCTCCCGCGGGAGAAGAACTCCCCGGCTGCCGCGCTTATTTCCGCCGAGCGTCCTTGTCGAGGGTTGTTGGCTGTGGCGCACACGCCGCACCAAACATCTGTCGACTATTAAAAATGCGCTGAAAACGCGTGCGCGAACCGCACCACGGCGCACCACCACCGTATCACCGTCACCGGCAACGTCACCACCATATTCAGCCACACCACCACCACCAGCGATCCTATACGATACGCTGATATAGGAACCGGCGAGCGACAATTTCCAGATCGCTGGAACACAAGGTTATAAACCACCCTTGTGCTCCCGAAGTTGCCGTTACTTTTTGCCCAGCGCTTTCCCAGTTTTGACTTCTCATGGGGATAAATAGTATAATTTCATTTTTCTCATTCAGAAATATAAAATAATAAATATCAAACTCTTTAATTTTGAAAACTTTCTATAAAAAATGTATAAGACATTATAGTTCTATAACTTCTGTATGTTGGTGGTTCAGCAAAGGGTTGTTGCAAGATCCAAGACGTCACCTTTATGGTGATTTATTTTGTAGGACTTTTACCCCCTTTTTTTATATTTCTCTTTAAAGCGCACGTGTGCCCAATAAATGGCTGAAATTTTGAAATGCCGCCACAGACGCTAGTCTTCATTCTGTTCAGCTCGACTGGCCAGGAAAAATATGTATATCGCGGTTGTGGCTCGGCTCGGCTCGGTATGCCGTGCATTTCTTAATTATTATTACGACAAGAGGCTCTACCACACTCGCTCTAGATGAGGATGGGTCCACCCTAGAAAACGAAGAAGTTACTCAAGCTTCAAGGTATTCATGCCAGCAATAACTGGAGTTTGTAACGTATTTTTGTGTCAGTGCGCCCGCAGTTTAAGGGGTGTTTTTACCGCTCTCCCCACATAAGTATTTCTCCACTACCATATCTCGATCCCTCTTTCCGTGAAGCATATTTTGCTATTTCTCTTTGCGTAGACACTTTACTTCCTAATTGTTTAGAGCTGCGCATGTGCAGCGTCACTATTATTATCATTACACACATGTATCTCGAGTGTGCAAAGTCATGGTCCGAAAAAGGGGGAGGAAAGTTAGCAGGGGGGCTATTACCAACGGATCCAGGTAGCGAAAGATGTTTGGCACGTGAAATGTGTAAGCTGCATACATTTTAGCGGTTAAACTGCGGGCAGGCATAAATAAACAATTAGCGACCTGTGGGCTGGCATAATTATGTTAAAACGCAGAGTCGATAAAAGCACGCGCCAAATTGTTGATCTCAGGAATAATTTAAACTTGCAACAAGGGAAATTATTGTATACTTCTTCAACAAGTTTACTTGGAGCTCTGTATTTTTAGGATTTCTAGATATTTCTAGACTTGTTTTGGTAAACTTTAATTTGTTTTATTCAAAAGAACACTTTATTTTTAGAAGGACACGATTTTTAGCTCTTTGTTTTGCTCTCTAAAATTAGTTATTCTATTTAGGCTTCTAACACATTCTAGACTTTATTTCGGTCTGTTTCCGCGCACTTTCAACTTCAAAATATTTCTAGGTCAAACTATAAATTTAATTATAGTATGACTATGTCTGCTGCAGCAGCGGCTGCATCAACTAATTTAATGTTGCACTTAATTAAAACAACGAAAGACGAGCCACGCATGCCTGACGACACGCCAGAAGATATAGCGAGCAATGTTGCATTGGGGGGTTTTTCAGCCACTCCCCCTTTTCAGCCCGCCCCCCTGGTGACTAAAAATAGTCAAGCGATGGCAGGCAGCATTCATGCTCCTCTTGTTCGTATTGAACTTTGCTACTTTTGTCCCCCGTCAGACGGTCTTGTCTTGTCTTGTGTCTTCTGTCTTGTGTCTTCTGTCTTCGGTCCGCGGGCTGTGTCTTCTGAGGAGAGTCAGTCCCCCTGGGCTGTTGCTACGTGTCTGGCTACCACTCCTACTCCAGCCGCAGTGCACTTCACTCTATCCAGATCCCTGCGCTATATGCTATATGCTGGATATTGACGTTGATATACAGCACCGACGCACGCGATATTCACTAAGCGGCCGCTGATGCATGTTGCCTCATTTATTTTTGGATCTGGCATACGCCACGATTGCACGAGTGTCTATAGGTACTCGCAATCTATATACTTTACTTGCCCACTAAGGGCAGGCGTTTAAGGTGGAAAAAAAGCCACTTCCTTTTGGAAAATACATTTTTAAGCAGATTAAAAACTGTTTAAATATTTTATTCGGTAATCCCAACTTAATATCCCCTACATAAGCCACATAAATTGGACTTGTAAATAGTTCCCGCAATGGAATATTTTATGCAGGCGACCAGCAATCACGTAGCTGCTGTTGAAAACTTTATTTCTCTGCACAATAAAACCAATAAACCATCGCAGCGCTTCATTTCATTTTAGCCATTCGTTTGTTATTACCTTTCCTGCTCATTTCCCATTGTGTGCCGCTGGTAAAGCTGATCATCTATGTCTGATTTGCTTCCTGTCGTGCCCATATAAATTTTACGTTTATTCCCAGCGACAAATAGAAGAGATCCGCGAAAAGTGCAATTTCAATGTCTGACAAACGCAAACACACACATACAAATAACAAATGGCAATGCATGCCCAATCGTTATGCAATCAATCGGCAACTCTAGCTTATCAACCAAATTAATTCTACATCTCCGGTTGTGTGGCACACAGGCCCACGCAAAATCGAAAGTTGGTCGAAAAATTAGTCATTTACATGCCATGCAACGCGAATCGAGGGGCCCAATGCTCTACGCAATCCAAAGCTTGTGAGTGCTACGCCCATGGAAAACCGTTGCCGCGGCAGACACCTCTGCAAAAGTTTCCATCGGCTGGCTGGTTTTCGCCTTGCCTCGGATTCGGATTTGGAATCGGATTTTGTGTCATCTCTGCCGGTTTTTCCAGCAGCGCTGCATTCGAAATCAAGTGTGAATTGAGGGCGCTGCCTGCCGGTTGCATTCGAAGTTGCATTTTGCCGATTTGCATTTGAAATGCATTCGCATTGCATTAGATTTGGTCCCCAGCTCTTGTGGGCGGCCAACTTGCCTAGCAGCCTGTCATAATCTCTTTATAATGAGTGGCCGCAAAATGTGGGGGCGGCGGAGCTTCTCTCCATTAGCTCGAAATTAGTTATAGTCGATGCGGTTTGATAAGTGTGCGCGGCATTAGTGCCCGTCATTTCCCGTTTAGATGTGAACTTTCTTTAACCGTTTCCTCTTCTTTTCCGATTTTCAGGGCACCTTCTCGCTGATCGTCGAGGCCCTGCATGATACCAACAACAGTGGAAGTGCGCGAACCAACAGTAAGTAAAATATATATATATATTTTTAATAAAACCACAGCTTTCGGCCTGGAAAATGACTTCCTTGCAACATGGCCAAAAATATATTTATGGGCCCATCCTGCTTCCTGTGATCGAAAGCTGTCAAAATGCGGCGAGCGATCGCACAACCTGCAACCTGATACCTCCTTGCCAGAGGCTCTAGCTTTTGCTCCTCTTCGCTCAGTGTAAGATTTCCGGGGTATTGAGTGGTTTTAAATAACCAACACACACACTCGCACACACGGGGGATAATCGAGGGCCAGACTTTGTCGCCTTTTGTTGTCTGCCAGCTTGGAACGGAAGTGTGCTCGAAGTTGAGGTTTGCCCATCCCTCATTTGCTTAAAGTGCAATTAAGCTCGGGCTCACGAACTAAACGCTAGTCAGTCCAAGTCCAAGGCGATTCCAATTGTTTCGATCGGGAACACAGATCGCCGAGAGATCGTGTGTAATCCATCTTGAAAACAATGCTACATGGATCTGTGTGTAGTAACTGATTGTCTTTTAGAGATAAGGACCACACAAGGATCTAGCCAGCGCGCAAATCCTTGACAAAGCATACCGATTTTTCTTTCTTCAACAGGAAAAAAAAAAAAGAAAAGATTCCTCAGCTCGGATTTTTTAAACACTTTTTTTGTGGCTGACTTTCCCACACAATTTGATGAAAGAGCGGAGGAGAAGCTACCTGCTTGGGGCTTAGCTACCTGCACTTTCTTTTGGCTCAAGATTTATGGAGTTTTCATAGGAATTTCTAGCATGTTATTCTCTTTGTTTTTTGGTCGTCTCGCCTTTTCTTCGGCTGGGCCCTTTTTTCCTTTTCGATTCCTCTATATTTAGCTTGGCCTATTCCTTGAAGGAATTTTAATTGTTTTGCTGGGAGCTCCTTAACCGATTTTCACTCGGTTTCCCGCTGTGCCGCCTTGGCTAGACTCCAGGCTAATTTCCGAGGCGGTCCCAGGCTAATAGATCTTTATCGGTACAAGTATCGCTCTCCTCCGTCCCGAAACTCCCTCCTACCTCCAGTTCCCAACTCCCCAGCAATTGCAATTTCAATTTCTGCACACCGAGATTTCCTAGTCTCGCCGCCTGTCAAGGATTAATTTCATTATTTAAAAGTATGCAACACAGTTTTTTCTTCCTTTTTTTCATTCGCTGCGCTGAATGACGATCTCCCGCATACTTGGACTTGCATAGCAAGTTTACGCCGCAGCACTTTGCCAACGAGTTTAGCTCTTTTTTGTTATATTCATTTAACATAAATTACATAAAGGAGGGGGCGGGGGGAGGGGGCAACGCACATGGCGACCTTTTCGCCAGGTTTTCGCCCAGAGCCTGAGGCCAGCTAAACGGGGAACAGCCAAAGGAACCGGACCTGCTGGGCAAAAAGAATCTGAATCCCCCAGTTCGAAGTCAAAGAGGCACTGCAAAAAATACTCTTTTGAATAAACCCTAACATATTATAATTTAAGGAAAGTTTTTCTATTTCTTCGAAATATGTCAATATTTTATCCAAGTCCAAAGCAATTTGCACTTTATAGTACTTTACTTTTTATTATCCTTCTATAAATTATTGGGAATTTTCCTTACGTGTAGAAGGCATTGCAAGGTGATTCTCTGGCCTCTCGGCTTGATGCGTTCAGAAATCTTTCAACTCACGGCTCTCGAGATTTTCGCCGGACTGCGGCGGGCTCTTCGGCTTCCTCACCTATCCCTACCTACCAATTAATCTCTGCCAATGCCAAAGTTGTTAGTTGCACGTTGTGGCCGCTGCTCTCCTGGTTCGATGTTGTTAAAATGCTTATCTTTTAATTTTAACTCATTGGATCAAGAAGCGGCAGCCCGGCAACAAGAGCCCAACTTCTCTTTTTTCGACTTGGCTTCCTTCGATCTTTTCTGTCTGTCCGTCTGTCCGTCTGTCTGTCTGTCTGGCTGCCACAAAACTTGTCGTTGTTGTTTTCGTTTTTGTTGTCGTCGTGTGTCTTGATAAAATGGTATTTTCGAAAAAATTCCTCAAGTCCAAGTCAGCGATACTTTGGGGAGGCGGATGCTGCAAATAAAAAATTGGGTGGAGAGGGATAAGGGGTAGCAGCGGATCGGGAGTCAGAGTCAAGTTTGGATTTCTTGTTGCAAATTTGTTGCACACAAATTTCACTCATTTGTTGAGCGCAGCAAATGGGTTGACAAAGCGGTTTGAAAGGGGACTTTTCAAACAATTCATTAGTGTGCTAAATATTTCATTCCGTTTTAAATATTCCACCTAATGCTAAATGCATTAAATATTTGTTTTTGGCTAACTACCTCCCGAAATTCCCGCATTGCTGAATATTGAAAATCTCCACATTTCCGCGATCGTCGGCCAATGGGAAAGTTGTCACACGACGCGCTTTTCCACAGATAATTATTAAAACGCAACTTTGCGTAAATATTTTCACAAAATTTGCCTGATATATTTTATTGCACGTTTTTCCAAACTGGCCAAACTGGCCAGAAAAATTGTGCGTCTCTTGCCGGCTTGTCTAATAACCTGTCATGCCACAAATCCTATGGGCTTTATCGCACTAGTGAGCCAGCGAGTGTGTGTCGGTGTTGCAAATGTAAATAAAACCACAAAGTACAATTCAATTTTTGTTGCAGTTGTTTTTGTTTTTGGGAATGTTGTTGGCTGGTGCGATTTTTGCATTGAATGCTTTTCCATGTTGTCGGCCCCGTTCGTCGGCAGGTGAAGCACACACACAAACACACTCGAGTCTTGGCCAAAAAAATGCAATTGCCAACAGCTAAGCCAGCGGCTCAAGCAACTGGCTAAGAATTCTTGTTGCCGCATTTGAGTTGTGCATATTTTTGGTAATTAATTAGTGAGTTTTTGGAGTTGCCGAATTTTTTATTTAATATTTTTATTGGCCAACCAGTTGGGCTGCTTGTCAATGGACTCGCTCCATATGTGTGTCCGTGTAATATATAGCTTTGACAATATGGTTTGATATATTTGGGCAAATATTTTAGTCGGTTGCCCAATAGTCGCAGATTGTTAGTAAAAAGGAAAAGTGGATTCGATTTCCATTTATTTCTGCTCTTAATTTCGCTTTCACTGCTCTAATTTTCCAGGGGCTTCTGAAATGGGGGTTTTCTCTGGTTTGTTTTGTTCTGTCAGCTCTGAGCTCTAAAAGAAATATTTACGATGGAGATTTGAGTTGGATTTATAAGCAGATAACCTGACTCCGGCTTAGCTTGGCTTTAACTCTGGCTTTGGATTTAGCTTTGGCTTTAGTTTTAGCTGTAGCTGTAGCTACATGCAATTCGAATAGTCATGCACCTGCAATTTACTTTATAGACCATGGCATAATGTGGCTGCACATGTATCTGTATCTGCATCGGTGGCAGTATCTGCATTTGTGTAGATACGCGACGCACACAAACGAGTTGGCACAGCCATCCCAAAGTCGAGACCGGTCGGCGAACAGCTGAAAAATGCCTCGACGAGCTTGGCTGGCGGTCTGCCTGCTGCCTTCTTTTTTCATTTATTTTTTTCTTACTTATTTTTTTGTTGTACTTTAGCCATGCCCCGTGTCTGTCTGCCAGCTTTGGCTCTCTCATCGCCAAATACCAAGTAGTACTCCGTACTCCGAACTCCGTACTCCGTCCTAACCAAACTGCATACCTCGGCTTGAGCACTTGACTCTGTGACAAGCAATTGCATTTGGGGGTTTTCAAGTTGCTTCGCTTCGTTCGATTTCGATTTTCGGTCTTTGGTTTTTTTTCTTCTATTTCCCATTTGCTGCATTCCAAACAGAGGTTTTTCGATCTTTTTTTTTTGGTTTTTTTTTTTTGCCCCGAGCGCCATCTCATCGGATCATCTTTAACCCAATTAATCTTCATTAGTCTATCGGCGAGCTCAACTTGTTCTCACACACTAATCGTGGTCCCGATCTCTCCCTCTCTCTACTTGCAGATCTCCTTATCCAGCGACTGTTGGTTCAGCAGGTACTGGAGGTGTCCTCCGACTGGAAGACGAACAAGTCGGAGTCGCAGTACACCTCGCTGGAGTACGATTTCCGCGTCACCTGCGATCCCAACTACTACGGATCCGGCTGTGCCAAGTTTTGCCGGCCGCGCGACGATTCGTTTGGACACTCCACTTGCTCCGACACCGGCGAAATTATCTGTTTGACCGGATGGCAGGGCGATTACTGTCACAAACGTAAGTAGAAAATGCTTTTTAAGTGTGGGAGGGGGCTTACTTTATATAAGGTTAAACGATAGGTATTTGTAAAGTCCCCTGAAACATCTGAAGTTCACTTGCTCAGATTTACAAGCATACCAGCCATTAGAATATTTCACAATCTGATGAAACATCCACTATAGCTTAACCCAGAGATACACTTTGTATCTCGGTCTTAGATATCCACACGGATCAATAGCCTCCATCGGCACTCCACGCATTCTTTACGCCGAAAACACTTGGCCCGCTCTGTTTGTTGTTGCTTCTGCCGATCTCCCGGTTTTCAAGTGTCTCGAAACTTAAGTTGATTTTTTTCCTTTTGCCTGCCAGCTCTCATTATTATTGAAAATCACTTGCTTGTCAAATCAAATGAGATGATTGTACACAATGCCCAAAAACAGACGGCTGCTGCTGCCCCGAACGAATTAAAGTATAATTATTTTTCGAATGCGTACGAGGCGATGAGTTGACAAAATGTGAAAACTACAAAAATTTGAATACAGAAAATGGCCATCAAGTGGGGGTAAGGAATCAAAGTCAAACAAATAAATTAAAAATCAATGGAGTTCGGGAAACGAAAAACAAAATGCAAGCGTGTGGGGGAAAAGTCATTTGTCATTGGCAGAACAAAACGTCTAACGAACTGCCGAGAGCAGAAATTCGGGCAGCCCTTTGTAGTTGGTTGGTAGTAGTCCGTTGTTTAGCTACCTTTGCTCTACCAACATTTTCAACTGTGAATCAGAGCAGACACACCAGACCAATGATGATGATGGCGATGGCGAATGATGATGATGATGACGAGGAGCAGGGCATACAAAAATCTTCCCACGCCAAGTGCAAGGGCCCGGGTTTTTGGACCAAAAAGGTGTGGTGCCGGTGTATCTGTATCTGTATCTGTATCGGTGGTGTATCTTGGTCTGCGTAAGGGGTCCACTCGCACAGATACTTGTACAGATGATGATCAAGGTTTGAGTTTGGGTTTGGGTTTGCGTTGCTTCGGTTTGGTTCATCGTCGTCTGCATGCCGAGCATTTCTGAGGACCCGAGAAGAGTCGACTGTCGACCCAAGAACAAACTTCCTTTAGGGCTGTTGTGGCAACGTCTGATTACACCTTAAATGTCGTAGCCTCCTGAAGACGGGCTTCTTCGGTTCGGTTCGATTCTTCTCCACTCCGCTCCCCTCCGTTTCCCTCTTCCTTTTTTTTTTTTTGTCTTTCTGCCGCTGCCTTTTTTTCGGGGCAGATAATTTTTGTGTCCTGCTGCCGGTTTAGCAAGTTGCCAGCGGAAGAGGCAGCTGCTCCTGCTTGCTATATTTTATTTTCAACTTAAATGCGCAGAAATGAGCTTAAATTAAGGCACACACACTCGCACACATGTGCGAAAATTATTTTCCAGCAGCAGGAGCAGCAAATAAAAAGCCAGAACGTGCAGGCTGCAAAAACAAAACAGCCGAAACGGAGTAAATTGGCCCAAAAGGTCTTGTAGTTTTTGCTTTACCCTTTTGTTTTTTGTATTTTTTTCGTTTTGTTTTTTTTTTTTTTTGGCCAAGTGCGTATGTATGAATGGAGTTAATTTCAAGGAAATTAGCTATTTTGGCTAAAGTTCATGAATGGCAGGCAGCTGGCAGTTCAGTGGGTGCTAAAAAGATGCATCTGCGAGATGCTTTTGAAAAGAGTTTCGAGAACCCTTAACCGGAGAAGTGAAAGTAAGCGGAAGGGAGCGAATTACTCGACTATATATCATTCGATTAGCGGGGATTATCTCTGCCCTGAAGCGTGTGAACTTCTTTTTCACTTTCAGGAAAATCTATTTCGACTGCGGGCGAAGGTAATAAGAATCATTGGCAATTGCCAATATTACGCTCCATCCCCATATATATAGATATATATTAAAAGGGGGCTGTGCTGTGTTTGCCCCCCGCGTTCAGAACACGTTTTTGTGATTTTCTAGCAATTTTCCTGCTGCTGCTGCTGCCGCCGCCGTTGCCGCTTGCCGCTTGCTTCTGAATGAAACTCACTCGGTTTAAAGAGGAGCATCATCATCAGCCGCATCGGCAAAGGCATCGGCATCGGTATAGGCATAGGCATCGGCATCGGCGGCTCCTTCCACGTTCTGGTGGTGGGCTCCTTTTGGCATTGCCTTTTTTAGTTTTGTTCACGACTTTTACCCCTTCTCTAGGCCCTTGTGGCAACTCCCCAACTTCCTGCCTTCTGCTGCTGCCGCTTCTCTCGCCGGCCGAAACATGTTTGCCACATTCTTCGGAGAGATCCCGACTCCGACTCCAATACTACCAACTCCAGCTCCGACTTTGACTCCAGCTTCTACTTCGACTCCGTCCGACTGCAGCGCCCAGCTTCCAATCGAAGTTTTCGTCGAACCTTTTGAGCTTGGGAATCTGTTTTCTGTTTTGGGCCACGGCCTCCGCCTCAGCTGCTCAGCCTGCTGCTGCTGCGGCTGCTGCTGCTTCTTCTTCTCCTGGCCATGGGATTATTTCATTTTGTGTGTTTCCTTTTTGGCCTTAGAAACAAGTTATTCCTGCTTGGCTTAAAACACTCACACACCGCCGAACGCCGAGAGTTTGAGAGCCACTGGCCATGATTCATTTTTATAGTTTTTGTTGTCTTATTTTTTTTGTGCTTTCCTCATTTTTAGTCTGTGCTAAAACGTTTTAAACGTTTTCCTATTGTTTAGCGCGCGGCTTTGTTTTATTTCCCAGAGACATCATTTTTTCTTGGGGTTTTTTTTTTCATTGCCAGACGCGTGAAAAAGAAAGTTTTTTCGGCACTTCTGCTTCGGAATTGCCTCAATTTGATGGATCTCGATGTCTGTGAGTGGGTTGTGCAGCTCGTTGTCGAGTGGGTGTCCCCCGGGCTTATGTTTTAGTTTATCGGACAGGTGGGGAGTCCATTTCAAAGCCATTTAGGTTTTAAGTTGGGAAAGTGTTTTACCCCCACCACCAGCACCCGTATTGTTTACATTTCAATTAATTTATATTTAAATTTTCCCTCTCTTTTTTATTTGCAGCCAAATGCGCCAAAGGCTGTGAACATGGACACTGCGACAAGCCCAACCAATGCGTGTAAGTATCTTATTCGATCTCATTTAGTTGATTAGGCCTTTGTGCTAACATATAACTGATCAGGAAATGTCTCATTAAATTTAACTTGATGAATGGATATTGTTCATCAAAATATTAGCATTTTGAATGTCATTATATCAACAAGCTATTCATTTTTGGAACTTCTTTATGGAAAATGGTAGATCATTTTCCCAACTTGAAAACTGAGAGAAAACGTATTCAATTAACCCATCTGTTGCCAACTGCAACTAACGGGTTCCTTTGCCTTCAATTTAATGATGATTCTTGTCCTCTTTGTGTTTGCACGTTTTATTTGTTTGTGTTTGTTGTTAGCTACTTTTTAGCTTTTGTTTTTACCTGCCCACCCAGTAAAAACAACAAGAAGAACAGCAACAACTATCATGATGGGGCACACCTTTTCAATGTAATGCTGAATGTTTGAGTGCTACCGTGAGCTTTGCGAAAAGGGCAGAAAACACTTTGCTGCTCTTTTATTTTATTTTTATTTTTTACTTTTTTTTTTTTTTGCTTGGATTTTAATGCACGTTTTTTACTCGCTCGTTTGTTCGTTCGGCGACCGCAGAAATTCTTTTGGTTCGGCGCGATGTCATTTGATTTGGCCGGGGTTTTGCATTACAATTTTGAAGCGAAGTAAAAGCCAGGCGGCCAAATTGAATTACAAGTACCGAAGTTTTCCCACATTTTGCCCATCAAGGTGTAAGCGAACACTTTTGACGACGCTGGCAAATATTTTCAGATATTTGCAGCATACAATTTCAACAAAAAACAGCTGCACGGGGAATAAAGTTCAATACGGCTAGACACAATGTTTTTACATAATTTTTTTTTAAATATATTAAACGAAATACCCCTTTTCCTTTGAAAAACTTGTATGAAAATGTTGCCACACTAGCTGCGATCTGCCAAATTGATTTTCAAACGTCGAGAGTAGAGGATGTTGCTCATTATTTATGCATTATGTTGGCCAATAAACTTCTCTCACTGCCAGGCGGAAATCAAACATTTTGTGGTCCGGCGATAATTGTGCCAAATATAAAAAGAGCACCAAAATCAACACATCATTGTGTGGAATGGAGTGAAGTAAAGTGATTGGTGGAACTGTTTTGTGAATCGAATTGTTAGCTGGAAACCGCAGATACGCCCGGGTATGCGTGCCACTTAGCCATGTTGTTTGACGGTGGGAATATTTTAATAATTCTAAGCGCATACAGCACACATTTGCTAGTTGGCAACGCGACTGCTGCTTTTTTGACATTTCTTTGTGTACACACTGGCTGACGCATATCAATTACTACTTGTCTCCCAGTCCGTCTGTTTGCTGTTTGTCTGTTACTTGTCTCTCCACCTCCAGCACTTCCACCCACTCTGCCTCCCCCTTTTCAACAGGTTAGCTGTCTTGGTTTGAATTATTAACTATTGAAATCTTTGTGGGTGAAGGCTTTTTCGCCTTGCAGTTGGCCAGTCAACACTTACATCTGGCAATGCGTGCATTTGCGTGCGTGCGTGCTTTATTTGTTGCAGAGGAAGCACTTTTTTTCGTTCGTTGGTTCGAAATCAATTTATGATCGTGAGAAATGCAAAAATTTTGTGACTCCCTCGGCTCTCCCTCTTTCTCTTCTTCATTTTCAAGTGTGCGGATATGACTTCTTGCAGAGACATTCGTTTTATTTCAATTGCGAACGAGACTCTTTCAAGTTGACAAGCCATCTCCTTTCCCCGTCGCTCCTTATCTTCTTTGCTCTTTTCTTGCCCATCTTGTGCCTCTTTTTCGACTGCAATCAAGCGTGGCATGCAAACAAGTGTACGTGGGGGAGGGAGCGGGATGCAGAGATGCGTGGAACAGGTGATGGAGCCCCAACACTCCGTCCTGCTCGCTCGCATTCAAAAGTCAAAAGTAAACCAGCGCTCGCGGCGCTTCAATAAGCAGAGTCAAAGATCTTTAAGTGTGTTTGCTGATTTCTTTTAGACCCTCTCAAAAAGAAGTACAAAAAGTCGTACTATAACTTTTCAAATGGGTTACCTACAAGACTTACCAAACAAAGGTTAAATAGCTTAAGCAGTTACTCATACATACGATTGGGCACTCTATACAATCTTATTTATTTCTTATAAAAATCAACCTACGGTCACACTAACCACCCCCTTTCCTTTTTCTATTTTTTTACAGTTGCCAACTGGGCTGGAAGGGCGCCTTGTGCAACGAGTGCGAAGTGGAACCCAACTGCATCCATGGCACCTGCAACAAACCCTGGACCTGCATCTGCAACGAGGGTTGGGGTGGTCTGTACTGCAACCAGGATTTGAACTACTGCACCAACCACCGGCCCTGCAAGAATGGCGGAACCTGCTTCAATACCGGCGAAGGACTGTACACCTGCAAGTGCGCTCCCGGATTCAGTGGCGATGATTGCGAAACGGAGATCTACTCCTGCGATGCCGATGTGAATCCCTGCCAGAATGGCGGAACCTGCATCGATGAGCCGCCAACGAAGACGGGCTACAAGTGCCATTGTCCCAGTGGCTGGAGCGGCAAGATGTGCGAGAAGAAAGTGCTGACCTGTGCGGACAAACCGTGCCAGCAGGGCATCTGTCGCAATGTCCGTCCCAATTTGGGGAGCAAAGGTCAGGGCTACCAGTGCGAGTGCCCCATTGGCTACAGCGGACCCACCTGCGAACTCCAGCTGGACAACTGCAGTCCGAATCCCTGCATCAACGGAGGAAGCTGTCAACCGAACGGAAAGTGCATTTGCCCAGCGGGATTTACGGGTTCGAAGTGCGAGACGAACATCGATGATTGCCTCGGTCGGACGTGCGAGAATGGCGGCACCTGCATAGACATGATCAACCAGTATCGCTGCCACTGTGTTCCCGGATTCCATGGCACCGACTGCAGCAGCAAAGTGGACTTGTGCCTCATCAGGCCGTGTGCGAATGGAGGAACCTGCCGGAATCTGAACAACGACTACCAGTGCACCTGTCGGGCGGGATTCACCGGCAAGGATTGCTCCGTGGACATCGATGAGTGCAGCAGTGGTCCCTGCCACAATGGCGGCACCTGCATGAACCGCGTTAACTCCTTCGAGTGCGTGTGCGCCAATGGTTTCAGTGGCACGCAGTGCGACAAGGAGTCCTACGATTCGGTGACCTTCGATGCCCACCAGTACGCCACAACGCAAGCGAGAGCCGATGGATTGACCAATGCCCAGGTGGTGCTTATTGCCGTTTTCTCAGTGGCCATGCCTCTGGTGGCGGTGATCGCTGCCTGCGTAGTGTTCTGCATGAAGCGGAAACGCAAGCGCGCCCAGGAGAAGGACGATGCGGAGGCCAGGAAGCAGAACGAGCAGAATGCGGTGGCCACCATGCATCACAACGGCAGTGGTGTGGGCGTGGCACTGGCTTCTGCCTCGCTGGGCGGCAAAACGGGCAGTAACAGCGGACTCACCTTCGACGGCGGCAATCCGAACATAATCAAGAACACATGGGACAAGTCGGTCAACAACATCTGCGCCTCGGCAGCAGCGGCAGCGGCGGCGGCGGCAGCAGCGGACGAGTGCTTAATGTACGGCGGATATGTGGCCTCGGTGGCGGACAACAACAATGCCAACTCAGACTTTTGTGTCGCCCCGCTGCAGAGGGCCAAGTCGCAGAAGCAACTGAACACCGATCCCACGCTCATGCACCGCGGTTCGCCGGCAGGCAGCTCCTCGAAGGGAGCGTCTGGCGGAGGAGCACCGGGCGCGGCGGAGGGCAAGAGGATCTCCGTGCTGGGCGAGGGATCCTACTGCAGCCAGCGCTGGCCTTCGTTGGCGGCGGCGGGCGTGGCGGGTGCCTGCTCCTCTCAACTGATGGCCGCCGCCTCGGCAGCGGGCAGCGGAGCGGGGACGGCGCAACAGCAGCGGTCCGTGGTCTGCGGCACTCCGCATATGTAACTCCAAAAAAAAAAAAAAAAAACACTCCATCCGAACGGGTTCCAACGAAATCCGGAGAAATCCGCATGGAGGAGCTAACAGCACACACACAAAGAAAAGACTGGGTTTGGGTTCGAAATGTGAGAGAGACGCCAAAATGTTGTTGTTGATTGAAGCAGTTTAGTCGCCACGAAAAAAAATGAAATATCTGTAACAGGCATAACTCGTAAACTCCCTCAAAAATTTGTAAAGTAATTAGCAAAACTGCAAGCCAGGCCGTTTCGATCGTTTTTTATAGATTTTATAAAACGCAATCTTAGAAATTATTCATTTGAAAAGCACACATATTGAACCAAATTTTTAACGTATTGAAACACTCGATCGAGACAGCAAATGGGGAACAGTATTTGCTCCCTTGATTATTCCAATGGACTGACCTAAGCCTAAAGTTGTACACCATAAAGTTAACCTCTCGAAATTGAAAACTATTTGTTTTTGACACCACCACATCCCACTTGACCAATTGCTTGCTAGAATTTAGACCAAGACCAAGACCAAGAACCACTGGACGACGGAGTCGAAGAGAAGACTCTCCACACAGTTTGACGTTTTGCATGTTACTGAAAAATCTGCTTCAATTTAATCTATTTTTTCTATTAGTTCGGTATAAATTGTAAATATTAATGGTACACGTAAATGTAAACGATTGAAAAGAAAACCTCCTCATTGACGCCGCCCGAAACGGGGCTGCTTTTCTATGCAAGGCAGTCGGCCGGATCGGGCGATTTGTATATAGTACTCATAGGTCACATCGATATACGACATGGATAAGAGAAAAAGATGAAAAGCCACACAAAAAAACTACATAAATTGACACTATCTCGACTATTTAGTTTCTAACTATGTATATGTAAATGTAGCGAACGAAGAAAAACTAAACTTAACTCGACTCTAGTTTAATATTAATTTAAAGACCCCACACAAACAAACATGCGAAGACAAGCAAAACATTTAGTGATTCTATTTTAAGTACTTCTAATTTACCCTACCAACCAATTATTTTTTTCGATTTTTAAACTTATTATTTTAATCTTTATTTTTTAATTTTGTCCATCTACAACCCTATATAATTTTTTGGCCTATTCCGATTTGGAGCATTTATCAGCGATGAAGTCAATAATACTTGTAGTTAGCGCTTAACTGTAAACGAAATGTATTGAATTTATAAATTGTAAGTCGAATCACAAATTTCATGAAAACTGAATTGGAACATTAAAAAAATAGTAAAAAAAAAAAAAGCTTAGCAAAAAGTGAATGAAATATACAAACAAAATATACATACACAAAACAAATGAAAATTCGTGTTTTTTCAAAGTCTCCAAATAGTCTTAATATTATTATTTTTTGTTATCAACGCAAAAAAGATTTATACAATTTAATTTTGATCTCAAAACCGAAGACAACCAGACAATGTGCAGCACGAAAGACGCAAAAACTGTTTGCGAAATTCCAAAACGTCAAAATTAAATCAACAAAACTACAGTTAAATTGCAAATGGTTCCTCGTTAGTGTAAAGAAATGAAAACTAGTTGTAAATGTGCTAAAAACAAACTGTGCAGCAACTTATCTGATAAATCCTACACAGTATATATATTTTTATACGTTTGCTACTGCAGCTCTCTCATCCAATTTTGTACATAAAACTCTCCGATCCTGTAAACTGCGCTCATACGGGATATAAGCTTTTACAGCCTATAGCCACACACATATATTTTTTATAAATATCTAATTTTTAAATAGTCGTTTTTAGTAATTTATATTTTTATTGCAAATGAAAAACCGAAAAAGGAAACAAAAAAAATTAGAGAAACACTAAACAGAAAATTGTAAAAAGTTGATAAGACCCTAAAACACACATATTTATACCAGAAGAAAATGAAAAACCCATAAAAATAGTAGTTACTTGCATACAATTGTAATTTAGTGTTGTACTTACGATTTAGTCTAAACAATTTTATGAAATTTTTTAGTAATTAAACAAATGAAATTAAAAAACGAAGCAAACAAAAAAGCCACAAAAAAACGAACAAACAAAAAATGCAAAGAAAAAATATGAAAAAAAAAAACAATAAAAAATTTTTATGAATGAATTATAAATACGAATGTTTTGTTATTTAAAGAAATGAGGGGGAGAAACAGTGGAGTACAATGTTTTAGATACTCTCCAACTCTGTTCGCAAATTACAACAAATTAAAAATGGATTAAAGAGCCTTAAAATGCTCTTTTAGTGTCTTCAATAAATATACGAAGAAAGATTTCCGGTGCCAATAAATGAGAGGTGAATAAGTCAGTACATTATAGGAAAATAGGAAAAGATTTCTGCAAATTAAGGAACTCATTTTCGACAAAATGCTATTTTAATTGCAACTTGAAATGCCAAAAGTGCAAGAAAATAGACAAACAACCATCTGAGAAAGAAAGCCAAGCCGGCAAAACAACAAAATTAAGTGGAATATGTAATGCCAGAAAACATCAAAGTTGATGTCTTAGTTGTCTCTGCTGTCATTACCTTGTTGTATTTGTTGTTTGAGCCTTTTTACAGTGGAAACGATTTGTAAAATATCGGTTAAACATTGTTTGTGTAAGTATTTAAATATCCATGTGAAAACAATTTTCGTTCCCTATAAATTGGGAACATTTAAGTCAATATTTTTAGCAATATAAATGTATTTATTAATTACTAATTTTATATTGCAATTATTTGTCATTTTTATTTTAAAAGCTGAATTTTTACGTTGATATTTTGTACCATTTATGGCAACTTATAGTTTTTCATTCCACAAACCCCAATCGGAGTTTGTGCGGCAAGATAACATAAAAATAATATACATATTATACAACCACAGTGCTGCGTCTCCTAGAAATTACAACAAATCACACACCATCCTCAACGTACAGCAAAGTGGATGGCAAAGCTACAGAGCATTAACAATAAATTCTCGCATGCCATTGTGAAATTCTCACAATAATCATAAATAATAGTTTATTTCTACTTTTTAAACGGCCTGGCCGAGAGGCTGTTAATGAAGTTGCCTGCCCGCCGAGTGCGTATCTGTCTGATTTACTAACTGAGCGGCGGTACTAAAGGAGAAATAAGCGACGAGACGGCGACCAGGTCGAGGTTTTGCCTCTGATGCTGCCTAATTAAGCAGTTCTGCACAGTGGAAAAATTTCACAATTATAGAACAAGATTCTAAATGACAAAACTAACTATTAATAAAACGAAGAATATATTTTCCTACATTACAAATTTACATCGATTAAAGGCTTTAAGCCGATGAACTATTAAAAAAAACTTTAAACATATCATTAAATCTAGGTTAATCTTGGTGTTAGTCTTACGTTTCAGCACGATCAAATAAGAAGTACATATAATAAATATTAATAAGTGATTGAGGTAAATCTTATAAATCTTGGCGTTAGAAACATCATTTCACCCAAGTGTAAACTTTGCATTTAAACTGGCGAGCCATTAAGCCAGCAGGTGAGGAAATGGAGCCCAAGGTGCGCTGCAATGGGAGATGGCTGGTGGATTGGTGGTTTGGTGTATCGCTTACCAGACAATTGCGGCAAAGATGCATCGGGCCAAACTCAAGGGGTTAAACCATTAAAATGCACTAAGACAATATTTTGTTAGGTCGTCGCACACACTTGGGGTCCAAACAGACCATCATCAATGATCGTCCACTTTGTTTGTTTATCAAGTTGGTTTACTCTAGATTTTGTCATTTCATCTTGGCCCGTGTGGGGATCTCCACTCGTAAGTGGTGATCTCCACTCGTTCTCCGTCTTTTTTTTTTTGGCACCTAATTGTGTTTACGTTAGCCCCTTGCTCCACACCAAATTAACCCATTGAAGAGGCATTTAAATTACGTTTGGATAAACATAAGCACTGCGACGATTCGTTGACAGTAATATTGCCCCAAAAGTATAAAAGACGAAACGAAGTGTCCCAGACCAGACTCATACCACAATTATGCCTTTGTCCGAGCGCGTTGAAAATGTTTGGCTCAATTCTCATAAAACGAATGAAAACCAAAGTAAAAAAAAAAAATCAACAACTTTGTGTTCTCGTTCTCATTCTGGTTGCCTTGTGTCCGTCTCTGTCACTCAGATTTGAAAATGTTCCTTTTTTTCAGTTTTGTATTTTTGTCTGTTTCTGTGTTGTTTTTCGAATCCATCGTGCATTCATTGTCTTGCACTAATCGCCATAAAAGATCTCGCTTTTCATCTCTTCTCGTGACGCTGCGTTGTTGATCTTGAAAATCTGCTGTAAAAAAGAAGCCAAAACAACAGCGCACAAATCTCCGCTCGGATTCGAAATACAAAATAGTAAGACGAGGCTGCTCGACGATTTGAATGGTCTTGGCCGTTTTATGATCGGAAATTGTAGCTATGTACTTGTTTGAGAAGGGGTTTTATTCGGGATACAAAAAGCCTACAGTTCAAAAAAACAAGACCTTGAAAGCGCAAAAGCTTAGTTTTTAAGTGCAAGTGTTATACATAAAGTATATATAGTAGGTATATAACTAGACAAGTCATCAGCAAATATTCTGAGTTCCACTCAACAATGTTAAAAAAAAACTTAAGATGTTTGTATCTTCTATCAGGAGTATTTAAGTAGCTTTATCTGATTTTAATGGCACTAATCTCAGCACTTCATTTCCCCTTGATATCTTTCAGTGCATCCTACTCATATTTCAATATCTTCTTCAGGCAGATTCCCAGCCCTTCGCATAAGTGATCCATAATTTAATGAGCTTCATTCATCCATTCATTCATGCAGCGAGACTGAGTGAGAACTAGAGAAACGAAACTCCTTTTCTCGGGACTGCCAAAAAAATAAATAATAAAAGAGGAGGAGGAAAGACGAAGCCAGCGGATAAAAAAAGGAGAAAAAAGGTCATCTTATCATAAATAAACTGACATAAAATCAAGAATCAAATTCAAAAGCGGAGACAAGAAATCCGTGGCAACCAAAAGTACATTGTAGGGAATTACACAATAAATGAAATGCAGGCCCACAGATCGGAGCTCCAAGTCTGCTGGGGCTGAGTCTTCGGAAACCAAACCGAAAGGGAAGGGAAGTTGGGGCCAAGCCAATAATGATTCACTGTGGAATTTTATGAGCTGAGAACATTTTCAGACACCGCAGAAGAGCTGCGCTGAGCAACCGAAGAAGCCGAGCCGAGTGTATAAGCTTTATCTATTTTGTGGACTATGCAAATGAAATCGATAAAGTATTTGAGTAAACGCTTACAGATGCAACCGATCGATAGTGGCTGGCTCGAATGCAGCTAATAGAGTGTGAAGCCGCTGAGCGGGATTGGAGGAGCTTAATCCGGCCGTAGATCAAAGTCTCCGTTCAGGTAGCGGCTGAAGAGTCCCGGCCAATAAATTTCCACTAAACGGACAGCGGACAAAACGTTCGACTTAATTTTCAACTGTTTATAATTTATTTTCACCAAAAAAACCGAGGCAATCCTGAAAAGAACAAGCCAGAAGATAAGAAGGAATCTCCGGCCGCTGCGCTTGCTTGTCGCTGCATAATTTGTCGACTTGTAGATACATTTGTAACTTTGTATCTTTTGCTCGAGTTCGTTTGAATTTCAGCTTTTGGTAGCGTAGCGCCAACTTCTCGTACAGGCCACATCGTGTGTGTCTCCGCTTCTCTTCTCTTTTTGGTTTTACTTTTTATTAATGATGTGGGAACTCCTGTTCGGCGCTGAGAGCTGAACGTTGATTTCTGGGTCTGCATTAAATTTCATTAATTATGAAAAATCATTTCATTAATATCGGTTTCGTTGTTTCCCTTTTGACCATGTGAACCGTCTGCATTAATTGCCTTTTCTCCGGTAATTATCGTCTCATTGGAATCAATTAAAGTGGAAATGTTAAAAAACGAAACCGTCAAACAGAGTTGAAAGCCACACCAAATCTATTGACATTCACAATTAGAGCCGGCACACTCTTCTCCATCATAATTAACATCTTGTTGAGATGCTGATAAGGATGATGCTGCCACCGATGATGATAAAAAATAACGAGCGACGCTATCTGAGATCTCCGAGTGCAAATAATTAGGAGGAGCCTAGATCGCAGACACAACAGAGTTCTCACCATTTAATTAGTATTCATTTCCATTATTTATCTGTCGGCCGAGACATTCTTTTCTTGCATTTCTTTATTCCCCAACTCATTTGGCTTTGTGACTGTTGGGCGCGTTCTCAGCCATGTTTTTGTAAGTTTTACGAGCGCTTTTTACAGCTGAAAGAGTCGAGTTGGCTTGGCACTTCCACAAACTATTGTAATACATCAATATGATTATGAAGCCTGCAGCCGCAGTCGAGTTGCGTCGAGTTGCCTTCACATCTTTTATACATTTGTGGCATGTGTTGATTTATTTGAAATACGTTTCTGTTCTCCCTTTTGCCTTTCTGTTTGTCAAAGGCAAACAAACCGAAAACCGTTCTGTTTGTGTGATCAGCGATCATTCTGGCCAAGTGCGAGAGATCGCTGCTTAATTTCCGAGTCCCTCCAAAAAGTGTTAACTTGTGTCTCGGTCTCTTCACTTTAGCCATAACTCATCAATATTTGATTTCTGATGCTGCGCTCCGACAGTCACTTTTCTGTTTGTCTTAAACACGGTTAAAAAAGTGTTTTTGGGTCAAATGCAATATGCAATGGAAAATTCCATAACAAGTTGCTTGTAATTCCATGTTCAACATTTTTCAGAAAGTTTAAGTTTCCTTTAAACTTATTATTTAAATTATTAAATGCAAGAAAATTTATTAACCTTAACTGTTTTCAAGAAAATGGTGTGATATAAGAAAGAAATCTAAAACAAATTTTATTTTTTTATTTATGAAAGTATAAGAAACTCAAAAAAAAGGTGAATGGAGCTCTGCTAAATGGATTTCAAATAATCGGTTCCCATTCGATTTAGAACCAAGCGAAGGCACTTTCCATCGCTCTAATTGCCTTTCCCACACCCATTTTCCGATTCCCATTACCAAGTTACCATGCCACATTTTCACATTCACAAAGGAAACCAGCGAGCACAAAAAAATTTGAGCTCCAATTGACAAAATCACGATTCATCGAACAACAATCGAGCGACGACAACTTAACTTTACACACATTCGCAGCTCGGAGCCAAAAACTCCTCCTGGAAAAAGCCAAATCACAAAGAAATTCGCAAAAAGAACGATCAGGAGTGGGCGGGGAAAGGGTGGAAATGTTCGGCAATTGGAAGTTGGCGGCAACTTTTAGGCCTTTGGGGCGTCTGCGTTGGCTGATGGAAGGAAGCTGGCCCGGCTACCTACGAGTTGCATTGTCAGCTAAGCGATCTGCAATAGGACTACACTTGCAACTTTTTCAGGGAAGTATTTATTTATATGTTTAATAGAGTTTAAAGTTACGGGTAAAGTTATTTAGATGCTTGTTTCACAATCAATACTGTCTAAACGTTTCAGTTTATAAATGTTAAAAATAATTAAAAGAATGGAAAGCAAATTTAATTTCTTTACTACTGTCAACAAAAATTTAACATTCTATAAATATTTTTGTTTAATAGATAAATAATGGAATCTGTTATAGTCTCTTATGTCTATTTTGACTTTTTTGCCGTTAGCTTATTTTATAAAACAACACTTCAAGATTTTTGGCCATATAAGAATTATTTAGAGTGTAGTTAACCTCCCCCCTCTCAGGCACTAGTTTTCCCCTGACTTTTCCCCATTTATCTGACAACTTTGAATGCGGACAAAAGAACCCGAAAGAGCCACAATTACGGTACTCGGCGTCATTTGCTGTTGTTGCCGTTTTGTTCTGTGTTTTGTTGGATGTTGTTGGCTGGCTTTTTGCAAAACTGTCCAAACATTGTCGGAAATTTGTTAACTTTAATTTCTATTGCCAGGCGGACAGGGCATCCAGGCATCCCAGCCTGGCTGAAAACGGTACCATCGCCCGAAAGTTGCGGGTGTTGGTTGCATTTTCCCATTGTCGGCCTGTCGAAATTATGACAATCCTGGCAATGGGTTTTAACTCGTTCCCCACGGCTGCCAATTCCAGAATTGTCGTAAATTTGTTTCTCAATTTGCTGGACAGCAACGCCACCAAAAGGAGATTATTTCCTCGGGCCCCCCCCCAAATTGCCATAAAGGTTGATTTATTCCCATCTCATTAACATTCGCCGGATTCTTTACAACTCTCTTATGACAATGATAAGGCCAAGAACTTACCATAAACGGAAGCCGGTGCTGAAGTCTGGCATTTAAGTGGCATTTCTGAAATGTTCAAACAAATATTGAAACAGAAACTATTTCGTTTTTGTGGCCGACAGAACCCCGAGCTTTCTCAGGCATCGGAAACTAGTTGTGCGGATCGGATCGGATCACACACAAATCAATTTAACGATGCACTAGCCCAGTTCCAGTTTGAGTTTGAGTTTGAGTTGGAGTTCCAGTTCGCGTCCGACTTCTCGCCGAATGGGGGTTTCATTCAGCTCGGATCGCAGGGAGCGGGAAAATGGGGACTCGAGCGGAGTTGCAGAGTTGACGACTTGTCGTCGGCATTGCAGCGACGACTTGGACTTCCTGTTGTCGCGTCATTATTGTCCATCATCATTTCCATTCGTAATGAGGCTAAGGCTACTAAAACGAAGTTGATCTCTAGTTCATTTAGATGCCGCCGCAGACTCAAAGCAAAAAAATAATAATGGCGGGGGCTGTTGCTCCAGCTACTACGACTGCCCCTTGTTTTACGGCTCCTCGATCAGCTGTGGATCACTTAACCGCTTGTGACAATTCCCCGTGCAACGAGTACGCATCTATCTCGGATCCCCATCCCCATCCCCATACCCATCCCCATCGCCATCTCAGGCCCCCTCAAAAACCGGCCTTAATGTATGCGACCCTCTGGCCAGATCGGGATCCACTGCCAGCGGGCTGGGCCATGTGTACAACATTTACTATGTTCGCTGACATTCTTCGCGTAATTCTTCAATTTCAATTGCATACTCCGCCAGTTCCTTCAGCCTTGCAGTCAAGCTCTTGCTCTAACCTCGGCTTTGACTGCCTGAAGCTGACAACGTCTATAGAAATGGCTTTAAAAAGGCTAAAGTTAGATCCTAGAACTTTATTTAAAAGGGTACTTAAAAATAAAGAATGAAGAAAAGAATGAATGCTTCAAAAGAAAAAATTCTTTATTCTTTGCTATTTAAAGTAATATAATGAAAATTACCGAACACTAGCAACTTGTTTTTAAATATATTTATTTAAATTTTCTGAAATTCTAAGTTGTAAGACAGACCCACTACCATTAGAGCTAAAGGGTGTGACAGACCTAGACCTTATTTTGTCCCTTTAAGAGTTAAGCAACCTAGTATTCTCCCATTTGCCAAACATTTTCTATTGTAATTCCTGTTGATTTGTATTTTTATACCATTGCAAGGGTATATCAACATCGGCTCGCCGACTCTAGCTTCCTTTCTTGTATTTTATTGCTATTTGTTAAGGATTTTCCTTGTTGATCCTAAAGCCAAGTTCTCATCTCTGAATGGCTTCTGCTGTCGTTTCTCTTTTGTTCGTTTCGTTTAGTTTTCCTTTTTCCAGGCACAATTGTCGCGACATTTTTCTAGGTAAGCCTCACGATCAATTGGCGACACGCTTCTTCTTGGCAGCGGGGCTAACCTGCCGCAGTTTCTGTTTCTGATTCTGGTGCGGCTGCTGCGTGAGTTGTGGCCAGACTGGTCCTGGCCCAACTGCGGACCAGGTTTGCCTCGCCTTGGCCTCACATCGCTGAGAGTGAACAGCAGCAGAAGTCGCAGCAGCAGAAGCAGATAAAAGTGTTTATCATGTTTGCAATTATATGCTAAAATTGTAATTGCAAATGTTTGCCTAAGCCGTTGAGGGCTTTTCCATTTAGCGCAGATAGACATTCAGCAGCTTCGCTTTGAAGTGTCTTGTTGTTTAAATGGATTGCTTAAACGGTTCCACCGAAGGTATTCCCCTCGCTGAGAACCGGATGTGAGAGAGTAAGAGTTGCTTTTTCTATTCCTCACTCTTCCCAGTTGAAACAAGGAAGTTGCGCGGAGTTCCAAGTTGCAAGTCAAGTTGGAAATCGGTTGGTAATTGATGGAGCATCTTGGCTCTGACACTGAAATATCTATCAACTTATTATTGTCTAGATTCTTTAACTGAAAATTATTAAAGGGAAATATCGGATGGTAATTAAATGTTTAATTGAAAAGAAGTAAGTTATGGGTCCTTAAGTTAAGCACCTAAAAATTAATTGTTTATTAGAAAGCTTTGTTAGCGAGGAAAGAACTGCAAACGGCTTAGGTAATTTGTAAAGAAAATAATTTTCTAGTACTTCCCAATTGTAATTAAAATTTGTGTGTTAACTGCAAAAAAGAATTCCGCATTTCTTAATAGTTTTATAAACTAGTGTTTAGATTGCCATAAAATGTTGTAGTACCCACAACTTAAACTTGTTGAATGGGACTTAAAACCGAGAACTCCGTGAAACTGATTGATTTGTTTGCCGTTCACCCGAAAAATTCTCATTCCATTCCGCGTCGTAGATTGCTTTTGACAGAAAGCTAGTTATGCGATGGCTGTGGTAATTTCTCTTTTGTGGCACTTTATGATCCAACTCAATTGCGCCCACCTGAATGCTGGGGCAGCAGTATCATGCATCATGCAAACATTGCCGGGCCATAAATCTCTTACCAACTGACCCCGGCTGGCATCAACACTCCATCAGAGAGCCCGGCACTTAATGCCCACCCAAAAATGGCCACGATGATGACGATTCCGTGGAGTGAGTCCGTGTCCGTGCCCGTGTTGGAGTCCACAACAACTACAACTACAACGACACCAAAGCACATCACATCACATCAAGTGCCTGGGCGAGCGGCATATAATGGTGCATCCAAAGTGCAGCTAATTTAAGGAAACGCTCACTCGGCGCGACACCAAAACGCATGCGCCGCCGCCATTGAAGCCGCAACTCTGGATGCCATCATCACCGTAGACGCTCCCAGCATCCAGCATCCAGCAACCAGCTCCCTGCTTCATGCTCTCTGCCTCATGCTCCCTGCTTCGTGCCTCCTGCTCCCCAAATGGCCTTTCTCTTGGCCAAAAGCCTACACCAATATGGAGGCGTTTGCTGCACCGGCGCGTGACGCTCGGTGTCCACTTTTGGTTGTCAAGCAAATTACATATATGATTTTTATGTGACAAATGAGCTTAAGATGCTGTCGCTGATGGGGCAGTTCGGTTCGGTTTGGCTCGGCTCGGCTCGCTTTGCTTTTCGTTTAGTATTTTGTCAGCTGCCAGGTTTCGGTCTAGAGATGATAACGTGATTGGTAACAAATCGTGACTATATAATCCATTTGCTTCAATGATTAACATTATTGGGATTAAAGTATGGCTTAGGTACAAGTTTTTGGAAAGTGATTGTTTTTTTTTAAGTTTATCTAATTTAAAGAAATGTAAAAATGTAAAATAGAAATTCGAAGTAGGCAATGATAAAAACATTTAATTTTAAGGCAGAAATCTGAACTCTTTTGAGTCGATTTTATAATCGATTTAAGGAGTATTAAGCCTGCTAGAATTTAATTTAAATATCCCTAAATAAGAATTGTTTATGACATACATATTGATTCCCCCTTTGTTAGATCAAATGATAACAAAAGGGGAAGGAGAATTAAAATTTGATAATTATAAGTTCATTTATTTTGATTTGATAAGTTGATAAGATTTGAGAATTCTTAAAATATAATATAAGAGAAGGTCGCCAAAAGCAACCATCTTACTCCCATCACGGACTCCTCTCTAGACGGCTTCTTGCATCCCGGAACTGGCTCTTGCCACTTTGCTGGCCAGAAAGACGGACACACTCACGCACATCGACACAGTGACACATATCGAAGATGTTTTCGTGTGTTTTCTATTTCGTTTTATGACGGGTCCATCGATTTGCATATTAATGCTGGACATGTTTAGATACGCCCGCGCTTCTTGTTTCCGCCTCTTTGAGTTGGCCCACTGGAAGACAGTGAGTCTCAAAAGTGAGAGTAAAGGTCTTGGGCCGGGTTCATCAGCTGCAGTTTGATTTATGTCCCGACTAGTTTCACGACAGATTGTTTACGATGTGTTAAGTTTGAGCCAAAAGGTGTTTGCTCGTTCCAAATTCCCCGTTCAAATTCCATCAAATGGTTTTCACTGCATTAAAATCGCTGAACAGACTGCGCGAGTGTATTTAAAGCATTCCGAAAACAACACATTGTCATAAGACTCCCGACGAAAACTATAACGAGTGAGCACAAAAATGTTGATGCAATCGTTAAGTTTGGCAAATATGGTTAGGAGCTCTGATTTGCGGATTCTTTTCGCGAGTTGTGAACTGGGTGCTATGCGATGGAGTTGTGTTTTCGAGCATGATCCACTGACTGAACTCCCGCTGAGTGTGTTTTCAGTTTGGAATGGCCAGAATTTTGTTAGACTTAATCAGAACACTGTGTTTTGGCCTTACTAAAACGGGGGTCATTTTTAGCAGTCTTTCTTTATCTAACTGTTGGTCCACGTTACCCCTTAAACGTTACACGATGAAAAAATATAAGAAAAAAATTAAAGATACATGTAAGCAAAAGTTAATAAATCAAGTTGAGTAATGGAAACGTTGCTTGAATGGCTTTACATCTTTGTAAGGATATGTACTATATACTGGGATTTACCCTACATTAAACATTTTGTTTTCTGCTTTTTTCGCAGGTGTGCCTCCTTTTTTTAATTGGCGGCTCACGCATAGTTGACCCCTGTAACTTGGGGTATAAATCCTTGAAGATATGGCTTATTTCTGAGCTGCCATCAAATGGAAAATTCTAACATGCCTAACATGTTCAATGTCAGCTCATTACCCGGACCTGCACTTGCTCGCTGTTCGTT